GTCTTCTCTTCATCCTTTCTTGTCCGATTGTTAACCCATGGGCAGCTTACTTCCAGCGTCACAACTCTCTTGCACATATGATTTACAATCCGTGCATCCACCATAATAATAATATTATTATTATTATTATTAATCAGAGTTACTGACTCATATTACCCTGTACTTGGGAGTAAGTATAGTACAGGTTCCTGACAGCATGGCAAGTTCCTTACAGTGATTACCCTATGTGAGCGCTATATAATGCAAGACACTACAGTTACAATCCCTTATCTTTTTCAATCCACGAAAACCATCATTCAAAACAGACTGTAAAACGGGCAGGTGTCTTTCAACTCACATGATTTAATGCTCCGACAAAACAGTTTCTGGCTGCCTCGACTTGTCCACTCTTCCAGTAACACTCTCCCAGACAATTCCAAGCTTCAACTAGGTTAGGATCCAGCTTGACTGCTTTTGATAGAGAATCTTGAGCCAAAGGATCATAATCAGGCATCACATTCAAGGCTTTCCCTCGCAAAAATAGACATTTAGCTGTTTCTTCACATTGAGCTACAACAGAGAGTAAAAAATTGTAGTAAATCTCATTTTATATTTTCAAATTCAGGAAAAAAAGTTATAGAAGGGATGTAAATACAAGTCAGTATCTGACAGAAACCCACCACCTGTCAGACCATTTTGCACCAGCAAAACCATTATAAATTATAATCAAATACAGAAAATAATAATATTCCAAAGAATGCTGGAAATCACTTCTCAGGGAGTTTCAAATTTTTTTTTTTTTTTTCTGAGAGAGCACGCCTCTGGATGTCCTGGGACTGCATGTTGGAAAGCAACATGCCATGCTTGTTACACAAGCATAATTCAATTCAGCAGCCTAATCAGTACAGATCATGTACCTTTAACATTTTCTAACTACAAACTTGGTTATAACATTAGGTTTCAACTATTATACCAATTTCATTACCATTTGTATTGGAAAATGACTTCAAATCAAATACTACAAGGTTTATCCCTACCCTGTACATAGTCCAGAATGTTCAGAGTCTCTTTTAACTTTAGTTCAGTTTCTTTCTTCTTTAGAGGAGCCTTCTCGATAGAATTGTGTTCAAAGTAGTGGTCTCTGAACTCATAGAGCTGTTGAACTGCAGCCTGGTCAAATCAAAATAGAAAAGAAACTGTTTGTCTGAATATGGTAGTCAGCAGCAATGAGAAAAATCAATGTTAACAACAGGATCACATCACATCATATACATTTTCAATACCTTTTTTTCAAAAGGATTCACGCTGTATTTCAATGTGAAACTTAGCTAGCCTGTTAGGAATTGACATTAATCTAATTTCTTGCCTAATGCTGGGACCAACCGATGCCAAAATCTGGAGTTCTACATCAAAGAAGGTCTGATATCCGAGGTACATACTAGTTCAAGAATCTCCAAAAAAATCTTTTCAACCCAGCTTCTGATATTGATGCACCAGGTAATCAAAATTTACCTCAGTAAGCTTGAGTGCGCAGCCCTTTCCCATTTTAGATAGTTTGCATACTTGCGCATTCAAGTATGTGTCTGTCTTATGAATATTTCTTCTGCATTTTCACATTTTTCCTTAAACCACAAGGTTCGGTCACCTCGCTCAACAAGCATTCCCTACTCCAAGTGAATCTACTCCACAAATAAATAGATTCAGACCAAGATCAATTTATTCATTTTCTTCTTCTAGCACTTGTTCAAAATTTATTTTAAAAGATTTAGTTCACATTGTTGTTATCTTGTGTCTAGCAAGCAGAACATGTACAAGAGAATATGAGCCCCTTAATTTTCGATAGAAAAGGGAGAAATCAAGGTAGTTTGTAACGTATGCTAAAGTACTGTTCGCTACCTGCCGCTCTTCTCAGAGCCACCCAACATCCGAGAGATGTTTACTGCTAACAGCGAGTGGAGATTGAACCCGCACTCTGAATTGAATAACGTAACGTTAACGTTAACAAATAAAAACTTAACAGTGCAATTTATAAGCACCAACCTCCGCCCTCTCCAGCGGCCATTCATCTGTGCTTGGCTTCTCTTCAGTGGATGGCCCTCCCTCCATTTATTTCACAGGTTTTTATTACTTATATTCCAGTCAATCTCTAAACAACATGAACCTCTATATTTCTGGGCTACATTAGTACCTACAAATTTGCCGCCGTGTAGCGCGAAAACCAGTCAGCGGATTTCTACAAAGAAGAACTCTATGTATAAAACATCACTTATGTCTACTTTATCTTTTCAAAGTTGATGCAAAAATAATCCTTTACCAATTACAGCGGTACACACACTGAGGTCTAATTACATTGGAAAATGATGAGGAATACTTTTACTCCGTCTAACCCTTCGAGAGAAATTAAATGGGAAATATTTTAATATTATTCCCCTGATTTTTTTTCCATTTCCATTACAAAATTCCCTCGATACATTTTGAGTTGGCATACATGGAAGCTTTTCTACAGAAAAGGCCACGCAATCAACCGTGAGTGTTCACTCGCAATTCCTTGCAATCAGCAAGAAATATGGGTATGGATGAAGGTTTCTGCTCTCTTAAGACAGACATTTAAGCTGACCACTGAAAATAATTTGTTTTTTTTGCTTAGGAGGTTTCTTTTCTAGTCTGTTTTCGTCATTGTTTGGTCAGAAGGAGCTACGAATCCTTATTTTAGGCTTAGATGGAGCCGGTAAAACCACGATCTTGTACAGGTGAGTTTATTTTTATATGATCCATTACATCTAGATATCTTTTCAAGTTCAGGAAAGTTTAATGACCGTTATGTTAATTCTGTCTTTTAATACCTTTTATAATCACAGGTTACAAGTTGGAGAAGTCGTAACGACTATTCCAAGTAAGCTATGAGTACAGACGTAACAAAAAGCTCACAAAATTAACACACTGGAAGTTTTGAACTTTGATTTAGCTTAGGATCTAACTGATCTTGAGTTTAATTAGTATTTTTCAGTTTCGGTCGTTCGATCTTTTTCTTTTTGAGTGAAATGAAAGACTGTTGTGTCTGTAATAACATATCATCTACAACTAAATTTCTTGTTCTTTTCCCAACAGCAATAGGATTTAATGTTGAAACAGTCACATATAAAAACCTTAAATTTCAAGGTGAGTGGAAAAATTAATTTGTCCCAGAATAATACTTATGCCATGCTTGATGCTAAGAAGGAAGCATAGTATAGGTCTACATGTAGCTGTGAGTGTTATAATTATAATTATTTTATGGGCCTTTTTACGTAAATATGTCAAGATAATATTATGAAACAAAGGTCAGAACAATTGAGTGTCAGATGAAATCTGGGTTTGCCATGACTTTCCCCCAGTTTGATCTGAAATTGTGCAAAAAAGGTAAAAAAAGTAAGAATGGGATTGTAAATGAAAACCAATCACACTTGATCCTTTACTATGTCTGGCATATTGGTCTCGTATTTTGTTGAACTTAGTTCTGCTTATCCCACAGTTGTACTCTGATTTGGTATTTATGATGGGTTTTTAATGCCCTTTGAGTAAGGATTTAATGGACTTACGACATTGAACTTTTTACTCAGCTACCCCATAGTTAACTGATAAATGAAAATAGCTAAAGTTATACACAAGTTTACTACTTCATCTTCTGCCGGTACAGTAACTATAAAACATCTACTGATGTACCTTTTTTTAATTTTTTGCCTAAAACAGTGTGGGATCTAGGAGGTAAGAAAAAATAGTTTATGGCAAGGACACCTAATGTTCATAAAATTCTTGTATGTTTTGTCTTTTGGGATCAATTTGAGATGTATCTTGACATTAAGCTGCAAGCTTTGATTAGAACAATTAACTTTTTTAATTTTGTTGTTTCTAGGGCAAACAAGTATTAGGTATGTGAACTTCGTTAATAACTATAAAATGAGTCGCTACAATTTGTTCAAGAACTAATTTGGAAATAATTTTTCAAATGAGACATACATGTGTCATGTATCAAACAACGTAACATTACAAGTGATTATTTTTTGTACAAAACCATTGAACATGCCTGTATATTAGCTATCAAGCTAATCTAATAGTGTCTGTTTCATGAACTTGAAATCACAAGAATCTAGTAGAGAAGTTTTGAGAAGCTGAAGTTGTAAACATCATGATACATAGCATCTTCACAAAATTGTCTTAACCTATTGACGTCCAGTGCGCCCTTATGTGCCCATGTGGACCCACACCCTTTCTACACTTTGTGACGTCATCACTTTTAACCCTGGAGCACGACTTTGAGCACATACTTGAACAGGTTGAAAATATCTTACAAACGATACCAGAATGAGCGCAATTGAGTGAAGGAGATTGGAGAAATAGCCAAAAAACCATGTAACTTTGACCTGAAAATCTGCATGAAAATCTTGTTCCATTACCCACCTACCTTTCTGAGCATGTGGTTTGAAAATAATGAGTAGTTTCCCAAAAAATCTCCACACCAAAATGAAGCCTACTAAATTTCCAGCAAGTGAGGAGAAATTTCAGGCCAGGAGAGGGGAAAAAAAAGGGCAGGAGAAAGAGAGAAAGGTAAAAGTCGTAAGTGGGGCATTACTTTTCAACCCAAAAACTATCTCAAAATTTTGCTTTCTGCGCGTGCCCGAGATTTTCAGGCCACCATTTTGCATTTGGATCAAAAAGCCGTCGAGTGTACGAGCTGTCAAGGGGTTTTTGGCAAGTTTGAGCTTTTAAAACCGCAACAGTGACACGAAATCTGCTCGACTAGCTTTAAAACACAGTTTTCCACAAAAGCTGCGGCCATTAATGGGTTAATGTTTGAAACGATAGTAATCTACATGTATGTATAGTTTATGTCACATAATAATAATGATATTTAAACAGGAAGCTCACCCGTAGGTGGTCTACAGAGAGGTCCTGATGGTCCATTATGATTTTTAGTTTAAGGTGGCTGAACACAGTTTTTGATACCTGTACTGTGTTTCATTCACCTTTTTCTCTAAAACCCTTGATCCTTCGGTTGCCAAAAATGGTTGCAAGCAAGTTAACAACACAAACTTTGTTTTTTTAATAGTTTAACTGACGTATGGCAATATGAATAATTAGTATATAATTTCAGAGCTGAGCAAAGAGTTTCCAGCAATCTGATTGGTCGAGCGGTTCCTTATATGACGCTATATAAACCGCTCCCCGCAGTTTATATAAATTGTTAAAATAAAATGTTAATAAATGTTACTAGAATGCTTTGATTTTAGAAATTTCTGTTGTTCAGCTCTAAAATTATACTAAAACAATTAGTCACCTCAGGTTCGGTGAATATTGTCAAATAATCCCCTCAACTTCGTCTCTGGGATTATTCGATGATACTCACATCGACTTTGGCGAATAGTTGTTAAATATTAATTGGCTTTTTAAATCGGTTTTGTTTATTTGTAGAAAATCTAGTCATTAGATTTTCTTTATAATTTGCATGCAGTGAGCTTGTAACGATACTCACAAGGCGACCCCATTTTGCTAATAATTCAACAGATAGATCTTTAATTATATCTTGTTGAAGGTTCAATGAAATATCTAGAATTTCCCTTGTTAAAGTTCAAATTTTTTTAAATACTCCAGTTACTTATTTCCTAAAGTATATCTGTACCAAATTTCATGAAATTCTAATGAGTGGTTAAAATTCAAGAATTAGGTTATTTCTGAGAAAGCAATTTTCCACTCAATTGCAATTTTTTTTACTTACTACGCATGCGCTGCATTTAACTGGGTTCTATCGGTAACAACAAAAAAGCAGAGAATAAATAACTAGGTTCTTTGCACTGCTAGCTTTCTAACATATCTTTGTAATAAAAGATTAAAGCCATCAATACACTGCATCAATTACAGAGAAATATAGCACAGATAATGTGGGAATGGGTACGTGTTGAGTAAATAAAATTACCTGTCTCTTGACAGCATGTTTGGTTTTTTACAATCCTTGTGCATGCGCTGAATTGCATCAGCAAAAGTGTGTGCAAAAACTGTGTTCAGCCACTGTTCGCTTCTTTTTGTAAAAAAAGCTTAAAAGTTCAAAGGATTTGTGATGTTTTTTGTTGTTGTGTTTTACAGGCCATACTGGAGATGTTACTACTCTAACACAGATGCTATTATATATGTGGTAGACAGTATGGATAGAGAAAGAATAGGCATTTCAAAGCAGGAGTTGATTGCCATGTTAGAGGTAAATTGTATAACTGATGTATTGAAAAAGGGGTTATTAAGTAATTGTTACAAGCTTGAAAAACAGAGGTATTTTTCTTGTTTCATGAGCAAACCCCCAGGTTTACAAAAGTTTCCTGCTCTATATATCTACACTTTGCCAAGCTTTGCAATACGCAGGATGTGTGGCTTCACTTGGCATGGAGTTCACTAATGATTAAGACATCTTCAGATCACAAAATCATTAAATTTGAGCATTGCATCCCAATGGATGACTCAGATTTTTCTCTGTCCCACAGTTGTGACAAATGTGTTCCTTATTTGACAACTGAACCGAAAAAAAACCTCCATCTCTCTAACCCTAATTAAATTAAATATACAACAAATTTGTGTTTATAAAAAAATATTTTTAACTGATTGGGTTAGCCAGGAAGCAGTTAAAGCCAGGTGCAGCCTTGCTGTTCTGCAAAGCTGCTCTGCAAAGCAAATCTGCACCTCTTTTGTTGGACTTCAAAACAAACAACAAGCCTGCAGATCACTGGTTCTCTACATTTTCTTAGTTATTGATATAAAAAACGTGAATGTAAGGAAAAAGTTTACTAACATGTTGTACCAGTAGTTGGTATTTTCAAACATTCCCTTAAACTATGGTAGATTGGCAAAAGCTCAATGAAAAAAAAAAAAAAAAAAAAAAAAAAAAAAGAAGAACAGTAGCTCAAAGCCTCAATCAAATTGTCCATTTTATCAAGGAAAAGGAGATTACTTCATTTATGTTTTATCCAAAATTTTGATGTGTGTTTTGAAAGCAGCAAACTATTTAATTTCTATAAAAAAAAAAAAAAAGAAGAGTTCAAATATTCTTGAAGACAAAATAGTGTTGAGAAATAATTTATTGTTTCATTATAGGAAGATGAACTCAAAAAAGCCATCCTAGTGGTTTTTGCCAACAAACAGGTAAGTAATATATTCTTGTGACTTATTCATTTAGAAATTCAAACAGAGTGATATTCACTAAAGTGTCCATTGAAAACTCAAGACATTTTGGAAAAGGATAGGAATTGAGATTAGCGTTTAAAGGGAAACATTCTACAACTCTTGGATCTGAATAATCTGTTACTTCAACAACTTTCCCACAAAACCACTTCAAAAGTGAAATGTGGAATATGGTATAAGTAAGTTTAGCCATTCCTGAATTTTTGATTGTGACATATTCAGGATATCGAAGGAGCCATGACAGCTTCAGAGGTCTCAAATGCTCTGGGTCTTTCTGCATTGAAGAGTCGCACATGGTCCATATTTAAAACCTCTGCAACTAAAGGAGAAGGACTTGACGAGGCTATGGAATGGTGAGTTACTTTAGGTGACTTGAGAGCTGAAGAATTTTATTAATCTTAAAACTGAGGTTCAAAGCTAGTCGTTTGGGTGTAGATTGAAAGGTAGCTTGTTTGTGCCATGGGCATGTTGAAAAGAAAACTCAAAGGAAACTGTGAATAAGTCGTGGATACATTGCGTTTGAATGAGTTTTGAAGATGATTAAATTCCAATGGGTAACTCCCCGATACAGTTGAAACTACTTGGTATTACTTTGAACTGCTGGGGTGATGTTGGGTGAATGGGCAGAATTCACATTTTAGCTATCGGTCTGCAAACTGGGTGTGAAATGCAGACTAGGTACAAAATGCAGACTGCAGATTGGGTACACAATGCAGACTGGAAATTTTGAAATCCGTTTTTTTGTCTGATACATGATAACATACGTATGTCATCTTACAACTTACCAAGTGTCATGCAATTGCCTTTTAGCAATCACTTTCATGATCATTTGCACTATTTCGGAATATTCCTTGCCCATTTCCTTGCATATTTTGTTTTTAACAAAGTGGCCACTGAATTTGGTTTTTAAAAAGGCAGCCACAATCATTCTCAAATAGAATTTCAAGCCTTCATATTAGTCTTCTCATTTCGCGCACCAGATGTCAGTATTGAAAAAAAAAAGACGGCTTTTATATGCAGTACGAACTCTTCACCTCTTAAACTGATATGTGTATATTTTCACTTTGTTGGCAAAAATGTGGACATAGACCAAAACTGTTCCTTCAACTTGATAAAATTTGTAAAGTTAAGGGGTGTTCACACAACAATTTTCAAAAATTAATGTTTGCATAGTCACTGAACAGATGAGAGGTAAAACCATCAGAAAAGTAAACAATTGGCTGGTCACGAAAACAACACTTCACTTTCCCCTTCAAAAATTCGTCAGTTACTCATTTTAGCGATATATAACGATATAAATACTGATGGCTCGCAGTGAGCAAAATGAAGGCTTGAAATTGTATTTAAGAACAATTGTGGCCCGGGTGCTTTTTTAGTATGTGTAATCATAGTCTACTAACTATGGTGTAATCAAAGGCGACAAGTGAAATTAGGAAATAATTTCATGCACATTTTGTCAAAATTCTGATAATCTCCTGAGCCTTTAGGCAAGGGAAATTATCAGAATTTTGACAAAATGCATGCCAAGTGAAATTATTTCCTAATTTCACGAGAAAACCATTTGATTACCTTTAATATCGTGGGTGACAAATTACTTTCACAACCGTAATTGTTTTTACTGGTTTATTCTATTGAAAACCGAGAACATGAAGAAGAATATAGTTTCCGTTTAAAGCATATACATTATTGTTAAAGTTCGTAATTTTCTGAGTTTCTTCACAAAAAATACCTTTCGAATTCTTCGTGCCTGTCAATGATTTTTGGCCACTTTTAATTTCGTAACTTCTTCAAGGGTCACTGTCTTAAATTTCGATGCCATCTTGGCTCTAATTTGAGATACAAGAAGTGTTACCATGGCAATTTTGTAATTTCACATGTTAAATTAAAAATTAACACTGAAATTTGGCACCAAAATTAAAAGAAGTAATTTGTCACCAATGATATTAAAAACAAAATATACTCAGGAACGGCGAGGAATATTTCACAATAACGCTTGCAAATTATGGCAAAAGACGATCGCAGAAAAGCAATTGCATTAAGCGTCTTTGGCTCGGAGTGAGAAGATTGAAGGCTTGAAATTGTATTTAAGAACGATTGTGGCCTGGACGCTTTGTTAAAAACAAAATATACCCGGGAACGGCCAGGAATATTCAACAATAATGTAAATGATGGTGAAAGATGATCACGTAAAAGCAATTGCATTAAGCGTCTTCCCTCAAAGTTACACCTTTAGTCTTCTAAAGAGCTTTGACTCGGTTACACATGTGCTAACTGTGACGAGTATTTTAATTAAAATCAAAACTCCTTCGAAGAAAGGTCGAGTTAAATTTTAATGTTGCTGCATTACTTCGGAAATGTGACAGAGACGTTCCGTCTGCCAGCGACATATCGATTTGTTTACATCTGAGTGACTGATACATTTGCATATTCTGCCCCATTCTAATAGTCGTTTGTACACTTCGCATACCCACGACTAAAAATAGAGGAGAATAGCAAAGGGGGGTCCTGATACTTTTTTATGCCCAAATTAAGGAAAAATTCACATTTTGCATGCATGTGTCACAAGTTGAGAAATGAAAACTTCAAATTTCAGTTTACCTTGCCTTTCTGTGAAATTCACACATCACTTCTTGATTTTGGGCTTAATCATGCATTCCGTATAAATTTCCATCAATTTTAGAAGACTCTTGTCTCTAGAGTAAACTAATTATATTTATTTTGTGAAAATCTACTTCCTTCATTCAGTCAGCTAAGTGTTAACACTTTACACCGTAACATCAGTGTGCATATTCTCCATGCTGCTCTCTATACATTTCCTGATGTACTGACAAGGAGAATTTGCTGAACAATCAAGAGCTTCTGTAGTTGGTGATGATTGCCATTATTCTGATGACCTTAATGTTTGATTGAGGGCTGACACTGTAATGAGAAATCAGATGTTCATCACCCTCAGGGTTGAGGGGTTTATTGTCTAAATGCAAATTATCCATGGCTATGAATTAAAAAGTTGGAATTACTGTCCTCTTTCAGGTTAGTGGACAGTCTAAAATCAAGACAGTGATGAACAAAGCTGTTGGATATAATTTAAAAGTAGTACACCTCATAAAATGAAGTTAGTTGGTAGAGCTTGGGAATTGAGAAAGATCTGCCTTTACCAACAAGTTGTCTTCTATCAAACTTGTTTACTGTGTGTAATAGCTATTTTGTACCACAAATCTATATGCTTAAGAATAGAGTAAATGTATGCTCAAAATCGGAAAAGAGGTCTTCTTTTTTTTTTAGATTCTATCCCCAATAGCTGTCATATTTAAGTAAATTTTTGAGCTATGAATATTGTCATGTTATTGCAACATTAGACTACAAGCAGTCTCTCCTTTTCGGTAAAGTCCATTGCGCAATTAAAAAAAATACAAATGAAAATATAGCTGTTGTCAGTGTGCTGCGGGAAGCTTTCAGAGTGACGCCATTGCATCACATGAGTGAGGAGGGACTTCTGATAGTCTATTGCAACATGTACCAGTACATCTTGAGGTATAAACATTCTCTGATGCATTATAAAACTAACTTTATTCACACACCAGTTAATTCTGATTTATTAAGAAAAAGTATTTATTTAGTACTCAGTTCACCTGGTAGCCACAGTTATACTCCTCACTGAGCCGCCTGTTAACCCCTTATGCCCTAATATCAGTATGCATATTCTCCATAGTGTTCTCTAAACATTTCTTAAGATGTTGATAAGCAGAATTTGTTTAATAATCAAGAGCTTTTTTAGTTAGTGATGATTTCCTTTATTCTTGTGACGTTGATGTGTGTTGCAGGGCTGTTACTGTGTGGAGAAATTAGCTTCTAGTCACTCCCAGGGGTCAAAGGGTTCAGATGTAATTTTTTTTAGCCATTTTGCTGTTTTCTTTTTTTCTCATTTTGTATGTAACCTTGGAATATTAATATTTTCTTTAACAGTGGATAGAAGAAACAACAATTACTGACATTTCAACGAAAAGGAAATATGTTACGTTCATTTTTGCTTTAGTTTGTTGTTTTGTATGTAACCTCAGGTTTTGAGGACTAAAATTACTAAGCTGGTTGGAAGTTTTTGCCTTTGTTTTTCTTGCTTTTTTTTTTTGTTACTGTTTTCTGAAATATGTAGTAACAACAGCAGTGTTCACCTTCCTTTGTTAAATACTGCAATTAGCGTAATATCCTATTCATGCGAAATAAACTGGTGAAAACATTTTTTGTGGAAGTTGTTTTTGTTCAGTAGGTTGTTGTCTGGTCACTCACTGATGCTTGCGACACGTATTGATGGTATTGATACTGCAGGCAACTTGCTTATCTTTATCTCTTCCATGGCTGGCGGCTATCAGGCAAATACAATTTTTTGGAAGTAGTCTTTGGTTACCTGATCAATGTGTTATGAAAGCTTTATGTTCATCGTTTTGTTACACACAATATGTTGACCAGTATTCACCAACAATCGTCATTTACAGTCGCCGCCTCTAGTGCCAATGTTTTGGTTCTTGCCACATCTTGATGACATCTTCCATCTATTACAGGCGCAAGACAACAAGGAATCTACTTATGTCTTTCTTGTAGCAGTTCAATGCTTATAAGTCAAATCAAGATTGTTGACTTCGACGGCTGGCTTGTGTTGATAGAATTTAGAAACAACGCAAACTTTGAAACTATAACAGGGGAGCCGGGCAAAATGCAACGTAGAGATGAAAGCATATCGGTAACTAACCCGTCTCCATGTTTCCACAAATTGCGCAGCTCCATTTTCTGCACATAAGCACTCACACAACCCACAATTCTGCCAAACGCTCTGACGAATGTACATTTATTTAGCAACACAGTTGCTGAAACTAAATGACCTTGTTACACCCCCCCCCCCCCCCCCGACCGACGCAGTATCACAGATTCTTTAAGAACTTACCACCTTTATTCATTGGCAACAAACCACCTTACCAACCATCAAACGACAGTCTGTCAGACTTTTGCATCGCACATATCGCTAACATTTACTTTTCCTTTTTATCCATTTTTTACGTCTTTATCTCGCGCACTTTGAGTTTCCACTGATTCCTGATTCGGTTAAGACAGTATCTTGCGAAGTTCTACTTTTCCATGTTCAGTTCGTTTGTCACGTCTATATCTCGCGTACTTTCGGTTTCTCTCGCTATGCAATTGTTAAATTAGTTAATCACTAACAGGAAGGAGCTTTCCTTTTTAGGTGTCACGCGTACTTTTAGTTTTCCTTGTTGTCCTATTGTTACGTTAGTATCCCGCGCTTGTTTAGTTTTCCTTGTGTTCCGATTGTTACGTTAATATCCCGTGCACGTTTAGTTTTTCTTGTTATCCGGTTGTTAAGTCAGTATCTCGCGCACGTTTAGTTTTCCTTGTTGTCCGATTGTTACGTTAATATCCCGTGCACGTTTAGTTTTTCTTGTCATCCGGTTGTTAAGTCAGTATCTCGCGCACGTTTTGTTTTCCTTGTCCGATTGTTACGTTACTATCCTGAGTACGTTTAGTTTTTCTCATTATCCGGTAGTTAAGTCAGTATCTCGCGTAAGTTTAGTTTTACTTGTTGTCCGATTGTTAAGTCAGTATCTCACGCATGTTGTCCGATTGTTACGTTTGAATCCCGTGCATGTTTAGTTTTTCTTTATTGTCCGATTGTTATGTTAGTATCTCGCGCACGTTTGGTTCTCCTTGTTGTCCGATTGTTAAGTCAGTTTATTGCAGAGCCCGCGGGCAAAATGAAGCGTATCCTGTGTTCTGATTGGCTACCCGAGCGGGCAAGATGGGCCCATCTTGCCCAGCCGGGATTGCCCGCGCATGAAAAAATTGAATTAGAACTACATTCGTAATTCAATTTCGGCGATGGAAACGCAAAAAGTGGCAGAAGATAGTCAAAACAAAGAAAACAGAAACGAAATCTTGTGAGTTTGTTGTGCTACAAACACAGTTGGCTTTCTTTCCAGGCTCTCGAAGTAAACAAGTCACTCTTGATTCTTATTAAAGCGAAATCTTTTTGCAATATAATAAATCTTTTATTAACCAAGCGTATTCGGTCAAGATGGTTGGATATTAGCCTCGTTCTGTTTTCGCATTCATATGGACCGAGACGAAGTCGAGGTCCATAAAAATGAAAAAAAAAAACAAAACAAAACTCGGCCAATATCAAACCATCTTGACGTCACGCGTGGTTAATAACGCATATACATTGCGTACGCTTAGTTTTCCATGTTGTCCGATTGTTACGTTAGTATCTCGCGCACGTTTAGTTTTCCTTGTTGTCCGATTGTTACTTTAGTATCTTGCGCACGCTTAGTTTTCCATGTTGTCCGATTGTTACGTTAGTATCTCGCGCACGTTTAGTTTTCCTTGTTATCTGATTGTTACGTTAGTATCTCGCACACGCTCAGTTTTCCTTGTTTTTCTATTATTCAGGTTAGAATCTCCTCCAGTTTTTGTTTCACTTGTATCGAGGTTGTTTCCGACGTTAGTAGCTCACCAACGTTTGGTGTCCCTTATTGTCCGATTCAGGATACGTTAGAATCTCGTGCACTATTGGTTTCCCTTCTTGTGCGATTATTAAGTTATTATCTTGTCTATTTTTGGTTTTCCTTGTCGTCCAATTAATCTGTATTCAAATTGTTGCTGTTCGATTATTATGTTACAATCTGGTGCATGGTCTCCCACGTTATGCGATTGCAAAGTTATCGCAGATATTTTTTTAGTTAAGTTAGTTAACAGATATGTTTGCACAGCGTCAAATTTTTATTTAATTTCTACCAAAAAACCCAGCATAACAAACAAAACAGTACTTATAGACTGAGCGGCGTGCAATGACTTTCACAGTCATTTTCCTGTAGGGATCTTCCTGATAGCAGTGATTTATACACTATTTCATTGACGCGTGCAATCAAACTTTTCCAGTTTTTTTTCTTTTATCGTTGATGTGCAAAGAACAGCCCTCACTTGAATATTGTTACAGTCACTCCTTAAAGTCCTTAAAGGGCAGCCGGAATCGCGCTGGTCTTTGCTGTGCTCACATCACTTATGGGGTGAAATTTTCGTCTTGTGAAATACGAATGCAATTACAGTGGGCCACGCCATCCCTTAAAATACTCAATAGGTAGAGATACTCCCACATTCTGAAATAATATTGCAGAGGAAGCATTGCTTTCGAATTGTAAAACTATTTGCCGAAACCGTGTGAGGGGAAAGAACGTTCAGCTGTGGCATTGTATCATGTTCTCGTAAGCGTTGCAGCACGAGCCCCGAGATTTTAGTCGTGAGAGGTTAGAAAAAACCGTTGCGGAACTCTCGCGCACCCATATAGCTCGCTTGCTTCGCTTCTCTAATCGCAGCGTCAATAAGAGCAGATCAATTGTAACTCCTGATTTAAATCATTTACTGAAGTATCACGACAAACCGTTGATGACGCCTGATGAATAATCGATGATGGCCGTAGGAGATTTCAAATTAATTCAAGGTCGTAGTACGTAGCAGTAGCAGTAGCAGTAGCAGTAGCAGTAGCAGTAGCAGTAGCAGTAGCAGTAGCAGTAGTAGTAGTTGTTCTTTATTTAATGTGGCACCACACTTAGTTACAAGCTACTTTCCAGGAAGCCCACAACAAAATATTCAATAAAAAATTACAACCTATATCAAGAGTTATGTACATTAAGTAAAATATTATTATAAAAAGGATATCGCAAATTTAAATATATATGTAGTAAAACAGAGATCAAAAAAATTAAAAACTTAATTTTAGGCGACGGATATCATGAAGAAACGTTCTTGTGCAAGCCTTTTCGCGTATAGCATCTGGTAGCGCGTTCCAAGTCTTAACAGCAAAATAACGAAATGACTTAAGGCCATACTTGGTACTGTTAACCTTAGGTAAGGAAAGCATTTTAGTGCCTATTAAATTGTAAACAGTCCTCCTTGGTTTAAATAAGTCAGCAATAGGTCTGGGAGCCTTATTTTGAAAGCAGTTATTGACCKTTAGCAACATGTCTTGAATCCTACGACTCTTCATTGTCGTATGCAAGCCGATACAATCGAGCATGTCTTCATATGAAATACCCTTATCTTTATATACATATCTAAGCGCACGTTGATTTACCCTTTCCATTTTCTTTGTATTCCTTTCCCCACAGTGGTGCCATATCTGGCTTCAATTATAAAAGTGAGGTAAAATAATTGCGCGATAAAGTGCTTCCTTGGTTTTAAGAGGCAGGATATTTTTTAGCCTATTTAAAGCTTAAAACTGACCCGCCACCTTTCGACAGATTGATGCAACATGAGCATCAAATCCAGCTTGTCATCCAATGGTACACCTGATAATTTTATCTCACTGGAAACAGGTATTGGCCTCCCTGCGCATTCTAACTGGAAATCACAATCAGTGTTTCCTAACACCAAACCCTGATATTTGTCTGGATTTACTACCATCCCATTCTGTCGAAACCATTGTGTTGTACTGGTTAAGTCTCGGTTTATACCTTCCTTCAATGCTCGGGGATCATGGTTTGATAAATAGAGTTTAGTGTCGTCTGCATAACTAAGAAGTCTACAATTCTCAACCGCGAATATGAGGTCATTTATGAAGATGTTAAACAATAGCGGTCCTAGTAATGACCCTTGTGGTACTCCGGTATGCACACCCATCCTGGTGGAGAAAGTATTCCCCAACTTAACCCGTTGATATCGGGAAGATAAATAACTCCGCAAGAGTGAGACGGAATTAATTTTTTTCAAGTCCATAAAAATTAAGTTTCTCAAGGAGCAGATCGTGGAGTAGGCAATCAAACGCCTTGCTAAGGTCGATTGCTACCGTTCCAATAATTTTGTGCTTGTCAAGTTCAGCTCTCCAGTCCTCTGTTAAGGCTAAAAGAGCCGTGGGACAACTGTGAAATTTGCGATATGCAAACAAATAGTCATGAAATATTAATCAGTTCAAAATGCTCAGTCAACTGCATGTGAATGATTTTCTCAAATACTTTGGAAAAAGCAGGAAATACGGTGACAAATCTGAAATTTGTCTTGTCTAAGGCACTACCCATTTTGTGAAGTGGTGTAATTTGGCCTCGTTTCTAGTTATCCGGAACCTGTGTTGTTTTTATAATGGTATTAACTAGATCACTTAGAGGCTTTGCTATAGAGCCAGATGAAGCTTTAACAGCCTGTGGTGGAAAAAAGTCGTATCCCTGTGCTTTGTTAGCTTT